ACGGAGATTAGTTCGGAAACAACATCAACAAGAATATTCCAGTAAAGCCAATCGACAGCTGGTCAAGAAAAAACCGCCGTCGTCTTCTGGTGGGATCGGCCTCTGGACCTCTTCCTCAAAACGCATTCACTCGAAATGGAAGTGAGCTCAACAATTATAAAACCAGGTATTCCTCGAAGCCCAACATTTATTCGCATTATATATTTATTAATCTATATATTTATACAATTTCCTTTAATAGCTAATAGTATATAAAAGAGGTGAGAGAGAGCCGGACAGTGTTGTTGACCGAGTGTTTGAGACTTTTACAAGAATAATTTCCAGCCCCGAAGAATTTCATCATATGATGGACCATGCTTAAGTCCGTTTTTACGCGAAACGAGGGAGAATGGTTCGTCGAATATGTCAACCTTAACGTCGTATTAAAGCTAAACGGTTGCAATAAAACGGGATTCAGCCATCCTCTTCGGGCGAGCTCGACCTCCGAATGTCTTCTTCATGCATTTTCATACGAAACGACAGTCTTGCCAACACAAGCACACAACTTTGCGCCAGATTGGACGGCTCACCTGCAGATCCATGAGCGTCATTGTGGGCGGCTCGATGGCCGGGTACCTGGAGACGAGCTCGAGGATGAGGGCAGAGAGGGCGGCGGGTCGTGAAAACAACAGTTCGGCCGTCCAGCCTGGCTGGCGGTCGAACTGGCGGCTCAACTCGACGATGCAGGCACGTCGAGCGCCCGACGACGTCGTCGAGGTAAGCTGGACGAAGAGAAGATGCAGGTTGCTGGGCAGATTGGGACAGCCGAGGGGCTCCGGGATCCCGGCGGCCCCAGGGGCCCCAGGCACCCGGGCAGGCTCAAGGGCTAAGGGTCCGGCGGACGTCTTCAGGCCGGACGGTCTCGAGCGCCGGCGGCCCGAAAGGGTCACGAGACCGACTCGACTTGCCCTCGAGCTCCCCTCCGACCTATCCCCGGTCCCGGCCTCCGCGGCCTCGTCACCGCGAGACTCACTTCCGATTGGTCCAGACGTCGTTTTGCCCATCGTCGTTTCATTTTGACTCGAAGCTACCTCCGACACCTCATTTGCCAAATCACGCACAGCCGTCGGTCTGCCCGGCCAATCAGGACCGACACCGTCGCCAACGTCTACGTCTACGTCTACGCTAACGCCGATGGGAGCTGAGCGAATCGAATATAAAGCGAGGTAGGGTGGCCGGTCGGTCGAGGCCAGAGCGGCGTCGAGAGGCCGACAACCGCGGTCTGCTGAAGAGGAAAAAGTGAAAAGTCCTTCATCAGCTTAAACGAAATAGGATGAATAAATGTCATATAAACTGATTTACTGAAACAAGTGGGTTCACAACTTGGCCTTGTTGTCAGGGCGACTTAGTAGAGCACACCTTGTCCGTGGACCTGGTGCATTCTCATGTATCTTTGATTTACTGATACACTCGGAACACTACTTATAAAGGAAAAATAAGTAGTGCAAACATAACTTTGCTTCATCGACAATCCCACAACAGAATGTGATATGGGAAAATGTCTGGCCTTTTTTGGAATTCACACATGTGGTCGAGTGGTTAACGTGTCCAGATTGCACGCAACACTGTCATGGTTTGACTCCCGCTGGGGTTGTCGTCGAA